CTAGAAACAGAAGAAAGTGCCTCTACATAATTAAAGCTATATATGAAAAATCCAACAGTAACATTGAGTATAGTGTTACTATACTAACGTTGAGTATAGTATATATATATGTACTATACTATATATATATGTATAATAACACTATACTCAATGATGAAAAACTCAAAGCTTTCCCTCCAAGATCTGGAATAAGATTCCCACCAGAAACCATAAAACTCCTAGAAGAAAACATACTCAGTAAACTTGACATTGATCTTAGCAATATCTTTCTAGCTATTCCCAGGCAAGAGAAACAAAAGCAAAATTAAACAAATGGGACTACATTAAACTAAAAAGCTTCTGCACAGCAAGGGAAATCATGAATAAAATGAAGAGACAGCCTACTAAAAGAAAGAAAATATTTGTAAATTATATATTGAATAGGGATTAATATCCAAAAATCTATAAAGCCTCACAAACTCAATAGCAAATAAAAGGGGAGGGGGAGAAGATCTGAATAGATCTTTTTCCAAAGAAGAAATACAGATGCCTAATAAGTACACGAAAAGGTGCTCAGAAATTCTAATCAGAGAAATGCAAATCAAAATCACAGTGAATACCACATCACACCTGTTAGAATGCCTATTAGAAGAAGCCAAGAGGGCTTCCTGGTCTGGTGGACCAGTGGTTAAGAATCAGCCTTGCAATGCAAGGGACACTGGTTCGTTTTCTGGTCTGGGAAGATCCCACACTGTTGTAACAACTAAGTCCCCACAGCCAAACTATTGAGCCCACACACTGCAAGTAAAGAAGTGCGTACCTTGAGAGCACATGCTCTGCACCAAGAGTTCACTTGGTAAAGCTGGGATGGGCTCAGAGGAGAATGGTTTTATGTCTCATAGTAAGAGACTCTAGACTTAAAAAAAAACAAACAAAAAAACAAACCCTTAGGGTTAACCTTCCTTTCCTTGTCTCATTCCTGGAAACTTTGATGGGGAAACCAATTCTGCATGTCAAATAAAATGTTTCTGAAATATGTGAGCTCACAATTTTGAAATCAGTTGAAAGCTGTGCTACCTAAGTAGGTCTGGTTGCTCTGCTGACTGGGACTAGAGTCCTATAATAGCTTGGAGACTGGCTGGTAAATCTGCCACAGTAAATTAATTTCCATTATTTAACAAACATTGGGTGAGTGCCACCTGGTGTGCAACACACTCTTTCAGCTGTGTTTCAAAGAAAGGACTTGGGGTTTTTGTCTGTCAATTTGTTTTTGAACCTTGCCCTCAACTCAGCATCAGCACACCTTAGAAATTCAGAGTACTTGATGGATGAGTTAATCTTAATCCCTCTCTATCTGGACAGACTGACTTTTCAAGAAAAGCTGGAATTGCTGGAGGCTGCATTCGCAGTCTCTGGGAGCAGACCCTGCAGATTTCAAGATTGGGGAATGAACGTGAGTTTGGAAGGCTGACAGTACACGTGGAAGCCAGGAGTAGAGTTCTGAGCCCACATAGTCACAGCGTTATAAATTTGGCTTTTGAAGTCCTCCTTTCTGAACCATTTTGCATCACCATTGCACTGGTGAAGGCAATGGTTCTCTCAATAGGAAAAGGCAATCCAAGGATAGCCATACTTAGAAATGACTTCAGATCAGAAACCTCGGGTTTGGGGAGGCATTTTGACAAAACTGTTTCCCACCTGAGTTTTAAAGCCTTGCCTACAACAGTCTTAAGTGGCAGAGCCCACTTAAATGCTGCAAAATATCTGCATTGCCGCGGTAGTCAATTTGGTCTTGGGACCGAGCCCCCAAATCCCTGTCTGGGTCTCAGCCCACGATTTCTGCTTCTAGACACCAGGATAGAAGGAGCCCGCGGTCCGCCATCCTGAATCCTTCCCTTGCACATTTTCCCTTTCCCGGCTCTGTGCCCAATCGCACTCGCCCGCTTCCGACTGGTTAGCCCCTACCGCTGCAATCCTGCCAGAGGAGAGCTAGTTTCAGACACCCAGTTTCCCTGCCCCAAGATTTTATTCCCTTGCATCAGTGCCACCCCTGGGCTTAAGAAGCAGAAAATAGGAATAAGGGCATCTTGGAAGTTAGATGTCCTGAACCCTGAGAGCACCAACCTGTAGGGGAAGAGATGTGCTGCGAGGCAGGCGTGTCGAATGGAATGAGGCTTGACACTGAGGTCTGGGTGTAAACCTGTGGCTCGGTCACTCATGTCTCATTTCAGCTAGTATCAGTTCTCCCCGAGAAAAGAAGCTACCTGGGATCTGTGTTTTTCCCCCCCGCTCCGCAATGCCGCTGCAGTGCTTGCGGCGCTGGAGGGTCTCTACAGGCTGCGTGGATCATGTGCTGTGCACTCAGACCCAGCTATCCTGTGTACAGTGAGAAGCGTCTTTCTCTGCGTTTTACCTGCTGAGGACAAGTCAGGACCTCGGACCTTCCTGGAAGGCTTAGAGCAGTCGCTCCAACAGGGAGATCCAGAAACCTGTTGAGCAGGGTGTAGGAGGGTCGAGGTGCTGGGCAATCGAATCGGGTTTTACAGAGCAGTTTATTCCAGAGAGTCATGGACGCAGGACGTATTCCTGCTGCTGTGCGCTGTGCGCTTCCTACCGGACTATGAGCACCACCTGGATGCCCCGGGGCACCCGTGTCATCTTGTGAGTGCCTGTGGTGAGGGCGCGCGCACAGGTCTGGAGTCAGTGCTGAGTTTGTGGGTGTGTAAGAGTAGACAGAAGCCAGCATGGGATTGCACGCCCGCAGGACTCTTCAGCACCATCAAGCTTGGCGGGCTTTCTAGCAGAGGACTGAATTGCAGTAGATGAGGGTGCAGGGTCACTGGAACATCTTGGCAAACAGCAGCCGGAAGCAAGGGGCAGCTGGGCAAATGGTTGGGGAAGGAGAGTGAGCATTAGGTGATGAATGGTGGGGGAGGAGGCGTGGGGCTAGAAGTCGGCTTGGAAGCTGGGAGGTATCTAAGCCTTGCACTTCCCTGCTCAGGCTCAGCGGGGCATCCAGCCCCTCCTTACCCAATGAAGGACCACCCAGCCTGACTCCAGGTAGCTGCGGAGGGTGTTGATTGAGAAAGTGTATCGTGATCCCACAGAATCTTCTATGAACTTCCCTGGAATCTTCTATGAACTTCCCTGGTAAGCTCTTCCAGATCCCTAACTGGGTGGAGAACAGGTACATGGTTAGTAATGATAGCATTCCCTCAAGACTGGAATATGAGTCCCATTTCAGAGATAAGTATGTTGAGACTTTACTAGTTTCCAGCCCACAATCCTACCACCTGGCGAACTTCTAGCCGGAGCAGAGTTGAAATCTGACAAAGGTCCTGGACTTCTATCCTTTCATCTCCACACGCCCTGCTCTGCTGTGCGTGCTTCCTGCTGCCTGAATCCGACACCCCGCTTGGGCACAGAATCATCACCTCTGCTGCGCATTAACCCTGAAATTCTCTTGGATGGGGGTCTATGGTCAAATCTAGGGGAGTCAGGGTTCCCTGTAATGCTGGATTCTATTCTACAGGATAGCACGGCTGGGGATGGAGTGGGACGCGTGCCTGTTCAAAACCCTTGAAAGCAAACAGGTAAAGTTAACTGTGACGTCAAATTGTCCTCAAATTCCAACTTACTTTTCCTGTGTTTTTCATTTGTCCTCACCAACCCCCCTCTGTGCCCCCCTCCCACCCCCGCCATCAATGACCTCAATGCAAATACAAGTGGGGTGGTACTTCTGGATGCTCCATGTTCTGGACGCAAGTGGTGACACAATCCTTCTGGGGCTCACATCCTTTCCCTCATTGGTTGCCCGGAGCTCCTGGAATCCCCCTAGACCCACAGCAGCGGGAATAAAAGCAGCTGCTCGCGCTGGGAGGATTCAGAGGCACTCAAGTGTCTCCACCACTTCTGCCAGAGTGCCATCGCCTGCCACCAAAGCTACTGCTGCTGCTCCTTCCTCTGCTCCCAGCCACCTGGTGCCGGCTGTCAGGTAAGCCCGGAGATTCCTGCTTAGCTGGGATTCTGTTTCTCTTTCTCCCCTTGCTTCCCTCTCTCTCTCCAGTACTTTTTCTTAGCGGATCTCTTCCTGTCTCAACGGCTCTGTCCACTCCTGTCCAAGTCTCTTCACACAAGCTGAGTTACTCTGCAAGACTCCTTCCACAGGTAACACTGGATGGTCTCAGTTTGCAAACTCTTCTTCACTCTTTTCGTGCCTAGGAGGGCTCCAGTCTCTTTCCCGCGGCTCATGTGCTTAGGTCAGTCTGGGATGCTGGAGCTTCCGGGTACTGCAGGCTGATCCTGATGCAGGAATACCTTTGTGCGGCCAGTGCTGTCACGGATCACATCTCATGCCTAGCAGACTGGGGGAAATGTGTTTGGAACCCAGGACAGTGCAGGCTGGTGGGAAACAGGCACAATGACTGAAGGGCAGACAGTCATTAAATGAAAGCCCCTGTTGTGGGTTCTGGGAACTTTTTCTGCAGTTTCCGTCCTGGGTCCCAATTTGAGACTCTGCCAACTTGCTTCTTACAGGGTCCTCTTTGCAAAAGTGTGGAGTGACTGACTGGTAGAATTTAGTTCTTTAGTTTCTCAAGGATTCCCACTACAGTGATAAGTCCTCTCTAACCCCCTCCCCCAATCAGGTAGGGGGGAAAACCCAGCACTGGGACGCCAGCTTTGAGTTGTACAAGGGGAAAAGCTGTGGTGAGAGACCCAGTCTGTCTCCCAGGAGTCCTGGCCAACAGGTTGTATGTGAGAGTGTGTGGCGTGCTGGGGAGGGGGCTATCTTCAGAAATTTCCTCACCCAGTTCTTTTTCTAAACCAAGCAGCCTACAGGCTTACTGGATCATCCAGAAGTCTACTTTGCCAAGGAGATGAAGGGGAGTGAAATGACCAGCCTGAAGTCAGGATGCAAGGGAATTAGAGGCACAGCCAGGAGCAGAGCCCAGATCAGTGGGCTCAGGGAATTTGGACCTGCTACAGGTGGTGACATTATTCTTCCCTTACAGAGAGGTGTCATGGGATTCTGGAAGTTCCCCCCATTCTTGGTTCTCGGCATCCTGGTCTTGTACCAGGCAGGCATGTATCATGCAGCACCACTCAGGTAAGAAAGCCCTGCTAGGGTTCTCTCACCTCCCCTGGCCCCTAGTTCATAAAATTCTGTGTCCCCGTTGTACCATGCTATATCTGGTTTTCATGGAGGGGTTGGTAATGTATGAATGTAAACTATATATAAATTTATCATTTTTGTTTTGTTTATTTTTTATTTTTTATTAGTTGGAGGCTAATTACTTTACAATATTGTAGTGGTTTTTGTCATACATTGACATGAATCAGCCATGGATATACATGTATTCCCCATCCCGATGCATGAGACAAGTGCTCGGACCTGGTGCACTGGGAAATTTATCATTTTTATGAGGCAAAGATACGTAGCACACAGTTTACAAATAGACATAAGACATATGCATTACATTCTTATTGTAAATTTCATAGAACTTATTTCTTTTTACCAAATATTTGTATCTTTAGGAAATCTATTTATTACTTTAACCATAATTTGAGAAATGGATCGCATCCTAATCTGCTAATTATTTTGCCAACAAATTTGTTATTTAGATTTATGGGACCTATACATCTAATTTCTCACCTTCATTTAGAATACACTAAACGGAAACCATTTTCAGATTTAAACTACCATTATCATTTAATTTTTAATAATGGATGTATTGAACTAAGTTAATAAAATTCCTGAAAATCTAACCATCAGTTTTCTCAAGCCCAGATAATCTACTAGAGGTTTGGAGCAAACCACTTCTTTGAGGTCACACCAGAGCCTAAATTCTGGAAAAGCAGCATTTTTGGATGGATCACTGGCCTCTTGCCCTCTTCATTGAGAGATGGGGCAGTCACATCCTCAGGGGAAGTCACAGAAACCAGGAAACCTAGCTGCTTATCCTAGATGTGGGGGTGTTGGGCGGTGGGGCTCAGAGCTGGTGTTGGGTTTGCTTTCCCTCCCTAGGTCTGTCTTTGATGGTCGTTTTGATCCTGCTACCCTGGATGAGGAGGAATCACGCCTCCTACTGTCTGCGATGGTGAACGACTACGAGCAGATGAGGGCTCGGGAGTCGGAGAAGGCTCAGAAGACTGAGGGCTCTCGGTGAGATGCCCTGCCCCACCCAGCACAGGGCATTCTCTCCCTCCTCTCCTGCCCAAAAAGGCATATCCTGGAGCCACCTTTGGGTTTTCTGACACCCCTAAAAATGTCTATGGGGAGTGATTGTGGCCCTTTCTCCAATGGCCTGTGATATTCTGCTGTTATGACCATTTCTAGCAGAACTATTTAAGGTTTATTGGTGCCTCTCAGAGTAGTAATTTTTCATGATGATTCTGTGGGGCAGCACCTACTATCAGTAACAGGCCTTTCCTTTTTCTCTATTCTGAAAATCAGCATCCAGAAGAGAGCCTGCAACACTGCCACCTGCATGACCCATCGCCTGGCAGGCTGGCTGAGCAGATCTGGGAGTATGGTGAGGAGCAACTTGTTGCCGACCAAGATGGGTTTCAAGATCTTCAGTGGGCCCCGCAGGAACTACTGGTTTTAAGCAGTGAAATGATTCTCAGAATAAGGTGACTGCTCTTTGTACTATTAGATGGGAGGATAACTGACTGGGTACTTCAGGGTGCAGTCCACACTCTAACCCTTCATGGATTCATATGGGTGAAAAATCCACAGGGGAAGGAGCCCACACCAGTGTCTGGAGAAAGAACATAGAGTCCCAATAGCTGAAAACCCTAAAACTTGGGTTCATTTTTCTCTATTTTTTCAGTCTCTTCTTGTGACACTGAGATCCTCTGCCAGGAAATATTGATTGTGTTTATTTAAAACATGGTTCTCTGGATTATAACTGTGACTATTCTAGCATTTGAGTTTGAAAGGCAATTATTTTCTCCTTTTAGAGCATGCCCTACTATGTCATGTACATCTGAATTCAGAGTATAGACTTGGGTTCAATCTGTCTGTCTGTCCCCTACTAACCATATGATTATGGTCCTGACCCACTCTGAGCCTCAGCTTTCATCTAACTTGAATGCAACAACAGTATCATCAATATAAAAAAATAATTGTGATAATACATGACAGGAGCCTCTTAACTAATAAGTAATATTTGTTACATTTTTCCCCCTCCTAGGTCACCAGGAAGTTGAACTCTACTTTTAGTTTGCATGAAGGCACCTTACAAAAAAAGAAAATAGCATGGAAATACCCATGTATGCATGCTTCTCGATATTGAAAACACTCTTCTTTCCCTTGAAATAAACTAAATGCAGAATAAAATAATTGCAGTTGTCTAGTGTGAATCTTTTTTTATATCAATGTATTTGATTCTGTATTCAATAAATATGACACATATCTCATTGGCTTATCTGGTAGCAAATCTGGGCCCTGTCAGCCAACCTGTCAGCTGATCTGCTAAACCTCAGGGGCACATGAGGTCACTGCCTTCTGGGTGTCTGGGGTTGCATAGTAATGCTGAGCCTCAGTGGAACTCTTTGTTTAAAGAAATGTTCTCATTTGTACACTTCATCAAGATAAAAAATATATTTTCAATACACTTAAAAGGAGTGATGCTGTTTTTCCCAAAGAACCTCAGAGACCTGTGAACAGTTTGTGAGCAGGCTGGCTCAACTGAAGCAATGATATGCTGGGGGGTATGCTCAGTGTCTAGTGATACACCCTTATTGGAATTAGAACACTCTACATCTCAAGGAGATATTCACATTTATTTTCAGAGAGTGCCCTAGTCCCCTGCCCCAGGAGTTACCCGTTCTCTTCTTCTTGACTCAGGTTTGTCCTTACTCATCCCTGTCTTCCCTCCCAACAGCACCCCTTCATTCACTTCATAGCCTGGAAAGCCCTTAAGAATAAGGGCTCACAGTTTACAAGGGGATCACAGACTGACAGACCTGGAAAGACCATCAGATACCATCTAATCCAACTTTTTACTTGGAGATGCAGAGAAGAAAAGTGTGTTGCTCAAGGTCCTGCATTAAGTTTAACAGAGAGACATTCTTATATTTAACAAATAATCATTGTGTCTGTTATATGCTTAATACTATTTGAACTTCAGGAACAGAGCAAGGAATGAAACAGACAAAACTCTTGCATTCACAGAGCTTATATTCTAACGGGGGCGGGGGAGATTTAGGTGAAACATGTCCTAGAATCAGAGATACTTAGTATCGGAAGGAATATGGGATGTCATAGAATGTAAAGGCTTATTCCATATAGAAATTTTGCAGCATCAACATCCCTAGCATCTGTTGGAAATGCTGGTGACAAGCTGTTAACTATAACTTTCAAGGTTACTGGTGAAGCCAATTCTACTGGTGGGCAGTCAGTTAAGCGGGATTCTTTAGTTGGAAAAATCATCCCCTCTTACCCAATTGACTATTATTTCTTCAGAAGCACACAGAATTATGACTCTTGCTTCTATTCAGTCTGTACTCAGCTCAGTAGCCCAGCATTAGCTGCAAAGGTAGATCAGACCATGTCTCCCTTTGGTATAGCATACTCCACTGAGTCCCCGTCTCACAGAGTAGAGACCTGGGACATTGCAATGGTTTACAAGGCTTAAGTTCATCTGCCCTTCCTCTCCCCTCACCAACAGTCTCACTACCACCTAGTCTCACTTCCTACTTCTCCCTCGCACTAGCCTTCTTATGACTCCTCATTTTATATCCATCAGCAACAATCCCCTCAAGTGTTTGCACCTGCTGGTACCTCGCTGCAGAATGCTCTTACCCCGTGGCCCTAACTCCTCCGGATATTTATTCAAATATCACCTATCCTGGCTATTTTTCTGATACTGTCCCTCACCTGCCAGCCCACCCTAACCCTCTTTGCCTCTTTCTTTTTACTTCTTTACTACTTACTACCTACTATCATAACATGTATTTTATTTAGCTAACTTATATGTATATTCCATTCTTTGTAAACAATTTAAGTTCCACCTATATAGGAATATGGCTATTTCATTAACCGCCAAATCTGATACTCACTGAACAGTATGCCTGGCACAAGGCAGCATTCAGTGAATATTTGTTAAATGAAAAGTTAAATCTTCTTGTCTTGACAAGCACAAGATTGTTACTTGTGCTTGTTGTGTTACAACAAACACAAGTTTGTTGTCAACTCTCTGGTTCCCTTTCAGTCTGAGGTACTCATGATCTGACCCATATCATGTCTCTGCTCTCTTGTAAACTAACCCATTGCTCGTTTTACTCCCAACTTTCTCGGGGTTTTTGCACTTATTTATTTTGATGTTTTGCTTCAAATATTGTTCCCCAAAAGTCTGCATGCTTGATTCCCTCCCTTCCTTTAGAACTCTGATGAATTATCTCAGAGAAGACTTTCCTGACCACCATACACAAAATTATACTCCTTCCTCAGATTACTCTCTGCCACCTGATTATTCACCTTAATTTTTTTCAACTTAATAATTTTTTCATAGAACTTACCAGTAGCTACAATATATTTATTATTTTTTATATTTTTTAATTTATTAGTTTTGTTTTTGTCTATGTCATCCCACAGCGTGTAACACTCTGAGGAAAGTTACATGTATCCTTGGAGCTTAGAAAATTCTGTAGAACATTATAAACCCTCAATAAATATTTGTTGAAAGTGAAGTGAAAATCTCTCAGTCGCGTCCAACTCCTTGTGACCCCATGGACTATACAGTCCATGGAATTCTCCAGGCCAGGATACTGGAGTGGTAGTCTTTCCCTTCTCCATGGGATCGTCCCAATTTCAGGGATCAAACCCAGGTCTCCCACATTGCAGGCGGATTCTTCACCAACTGAACCACGAGGGAGGCCGGAGAATACTGGAGTGGGTAGCCTATCCCTTTCTCCAGTAGATCTTCCCGACCCAGAATTTGAACCGGGGTCTCCTGCATTGCAAGCAGATTCTTTACTAACTGAACCATCAGGGAAGCCCTGATATTTGTTGAGCTTTTAAGTGAATTATAATGCTCTGATTTGTTCTCTGAGTTCATCTTTAACTATTGTCCTGTTTATGAGATGTAAAGATCTCATATTTAAAATGGTCTATAATTTTTGTTTTGATTTTCACTTTGAAAAGTAACATAGAAGAGTACTTTAAAATTTAAACTAGCATTCAAAACTATACTTCACTTATTTACTTCCAGGTTTTACACTGAGGTTTGAGAAAGTATTGATAGATTTTATTAATTTTTGACTTCTGAAATTTACTAAAATTTTCAATTAGGTTTGTTATTTGACCCTTTCACGTAAATGATTAGGAGATCAAAAAGGATTAAAAGGAGCCCCTGAGGACAAGTCACCTCCATGCTACAGGAAAGTAAGCGAGGCTGTCTCATTTTCCAAGAATGAGAAGCCAAGAAAACCCCATGGATACAATACCTTTCTCATTTCTTGTCTAATCTAGAATTCACTAAGGTTGTGTCCTTGGTTCTAGGCTCTAATGGCACCAGGGAACCCTATATTAAAGCTCCATAAGTCTGTTGCCTAAATAATGGTCAAAATGTCTCTTGGGAGCAGAGACACATTAGAAAGTTTCTCCAAGCCCAGGTGGTAAAAAGTCCCTGGGCTCGTGCGCACCTTCCATGTGTTAACAATTCCCTTTTGCCTGCCCAACCTGCATGCATCATTAAATACTGGATAAAGTTTAAAAAAATGAAGGGGCTTTTTTCAGGTGGGCTTTAATCCAATCTTCACTTAATTAAAAGTCTTCCGTTAGTTATTGGCAAAGGAATCTAAGGCACGCAGCTCAACATTCAAGCACCAACTTCAGGATGCATCTTAATAACCCATCAGGGGCTTCCCAGGTGGCTTAGTGGTAAAGAATCTGCCTGCCAATGCAGGAGACGATCCCTGGGCTGGGAAGATGCCCTGGAAAAGGAAATGGCAACCCATTCCAGTATTCTTGCTGGGAACTATCATGCCCAGAAGAACCTGGAGGGCTACGGTACAGAGCGTCGCCAAGAGTTGGACATGATTTAGTGACTAAAGAATAACAACAATGACCTGTCAAGGCCTGGAGAGTTATGTCATGTAAAGCAGTCTGTTTCCCATCTCTCCTGGAGTGTCACCGAGCATGAACACCAGTTCGCTCAATAACTTCCCTTTCTCTGGAGCGCATATGAACAGGAACGTTGAAGACCACAAACCGGAAGTTGCTAGAGGAGGGACATCTCATATGTGAGATTTCATGATTCCCAGACACAATTGTCTGGGGAGTGAACATAGTCAGGCGGTGAATTCAAGGGGGTGCCATTCCCAGCAGAAGAGGCACAGAGGATGGCCCCTGACATAAAGAGTGATCTCCTCGCCCCCACCCCGCACCCCATCAGGTGCACTCTCTTTTTAGACACTCTGTTACTTCCCCTCTATTTAGCCACTTCCTGGCTCTGGCCCACCTGCCCTGAGACTTCCTCAGTGCTCCAGACCACAACAGCCTCTCCCTCTTAAAGCCCCAGCACTTACTGTCCCTGCCAATCAGCCCAGCGTTTACTTACTGTGGTAAGTAAAGAACTCCTCCACCCCTAGAAGTCCACAT